GGGGAGGGGGGATGGGGAGAGGGGATGGGTTTTAGGGGAAAGGGGGATGGGGTTTGGGGGGATGGGGTTTGGGGGGAGGGGGATGGAGGTTAGGGGAATGGGGGGAGGAGGTTAGGGGAATGGGGGGAGGAGGGGATGGAGGTTAGGGGAATGGGGGGAGGGGGTAGGGAATGGGGTTTAGGGGAAAGGGGCGAGGGGAATAGGGGTTGGGGGTAGGGGAGGAGGATAGGGTAGGGGAAAGGGGAGGAGAAATGGGGTTATAGGAAGGGGAGGGGAGGGGTGAAGGGGATGGGGTAGGGAGAAAGGGGGATGGGAAAGGAGGGAGAGGGAAAGTTGGGGTGCAAGTTGGGAGGGGAATGGCAGGGAGGAAGGGGAAAGAATGGGGAGTATGAAAAGTGGGGGCAGAGGGGAGGGAAAAGGGAAGGAAGGGATTGGGAAGGGGAGTGGAAAGGGTTGCGTGTAGGGAAAGGGCAGAGCGGGGAGGATATGGGGTCGGGGAAAGGGAAAGGGCAGAGGGGGAAGGGTGAAGGGAAGGGGCGGAAGGGGAGGGGAAAGGGAAGGGAAAGGGTGAGGGGGGGAAAGTGGAAGAGAAGAGTTGAGAGGTAGAAGGGGAAGGGGGGAAGGGGAGGGTGAAGAGGGAGATTGATGGAGGGTGTGGGGGGATAGGGATAGGGGGATAGTGTGGGATGGGGAGGGAGCGGAATGGGATGAGAAGGAGATGTGTAAGGGAGGGATGGATGGAGTGAGTGGGAGTGGGGACTGAGGAGGTGGTGGGGGGGATGGAGTGAATGGGGAGGGGTGTGAGAGAGCGGAAGTGCATGAGGTGTGATTGGGGAAGGGGGTTGGAGTGTATGAGGAGATGGGGTGGGGAGTGCAGGGGGTAATGGGAAGTGGAGAGGGTAGGGATTTGGGGACTAGCAGGAGAGTGAGTGAGTGAAGAGTAGGGACAGGGAAGGAGGGATAGAGGTTCAGGAAGTAAGTGAGGCAGAGGAATGGGGTGGTGTGATAAGGATGCAGAGTGAGTCCGGGGGAAGGGGTGTGGAGACAGTGAGGAGTCTGGAGGGGGCAATGCGTGTGAGGGACAGAGATTGCTAAACGTGAGGCTGAGGGGTGTCAGAGCGAGTGAATGAGGCACAGGGGTGGCAATGGTGGAAGGCGGAGTGAGAAGGGGAACGAGGGGAATTTGTGATTGAGGGAGGCAGAAGGGAGTGAGGGCGGTGAAGGGAAGTGTGTGCGTGTGAGGGCTGAAGGAAATGTGGGAGGTGAGTGAGGGGCAAGAGTGAAGGGGACAGAAAATGAAAGGGATGATGGATGGAATGATTAGTGGGGAATTTAGGGATTTGGGTAGGTAGGATATAAGGGAGAGGGGGAGTGTGGTATGAAGGGGACGGTAGATTAAATGAGAGTTGTCCTTAAGGTGAGTGGGAGAAGGGGAATGAAAGGACTGGGGTAAGGGTAAATGTAAATAACCAAACAGGAATGGTGAGTGAGTGGCCATGGGAGTGGGGAAGAGTAATTGAGAAGGGTCACTGTCAAGGTGATAGCATCAGATTTGTGGAAATAAGTTAAAAAGCTCCAAGAGACAATGGCAAAGAAATTGAGCTGAATAATCTCCTCCTGTGCTATTAAACTTTTGTTTCAGTTAGCCATCACATCATTGAATCACAGAGAGGTAAAGCACGGAAAAAGACCATTCGGCTCAACTCTTCCATGCTGACCAGATATCCTAAATGAACCTAGTCCCATTTTCCAGCATTTGGCCCAAATCCCTCTAAACCCTTCCTCTTCATGTAATCGTTCAGATGCTTTTTAAACGTTGTAAGTGTACCAGCCTCCACCACTTCCTCTGGCAGTTCATTCCATATATGCGCCACCCTCTGCATGAACAAGTTGCCCGTCAGGGTCCCTTTTAAATCTTTCCCCTCTCACCTTTCCCCTCTAACCTTAAACCTTTATTTAGGTATTTCTGTACAAGTCTGTAACAAACACTTAAGTATTCTGTACCTAGGTACCCTGTACCTAAGGTTGCACCAAAGTGGCAACATTACAAACTTTTCACTGCACTCGTTTGAGTGCATGTGATAATAAAGGCTATTCGATTCAAATTCTATGCCCTCTAGTTTGTGACTCCACTACCCCAGGAAAAAGACCTTGACTATTCACCCTATCCATGCCACTCATGTTTGTATAAACTTCAATAACGTCACCCCTTAGCCTCCAGCACTTGAGGGATAATAGCCCCAGCCTATTCAGCCTATTCAGCCTGTCCCCATAGTACAAACCCTCCCACATCCTTGCAAATCTTATCTGAACTCTTTCAAGTTTAACAACATTTCAAATAGCAGGGAGACCAGAATTGAACACAGGATTCCAAAAGTGGCCTCACCAATGTCCTATACAGAATATGACCCCACGACTCCAATACTCAAGGCAAGCGTACCGAATGCTTTCTTCACTGTACTATCTACCTGTGACTCCACTTATAAGGAACTATGAACCTGCATTCCGAGATCTCTTTGTTCGGCAACACTCCCCAGGTCCTTACCATTAAGTGTATAAGTCCTGCCCTGATTTGTCTTTCCAAAATGCAACAGCTCGCATCTACCTAAATTAAACTCCATCTGCCACTCCTCGGCCCACTTTCCTGTCTGATCAAGGTCCTGCTGTAGTCTCAGGTATCCAAGTAGCTAGTTCTCCCTCTTTCAATTTGAACACTGATTATGAGGATTCCCCATGTAAACAGGTAATGCTGTAGTTTCTGGCTGTGGTCAACATTCAGCATCAGAACTGTGTTCTGAACCACTGCATCAACAATTCCAGGTTTCAACTTCCAATCCCAATAACAGTGACACAGTGAATGCATAAATGTTCTGGTGATTTTCTTCCAGGCTGACTCAAGGCCAGGAGCCAAGATGAGCAATGAGGAGGTGAGTGGAAATGGCTTCACTGAATCACAATAGTCTACCTTGCATCATTGCTTTCGGAAAATGCACAGAACCGTATTTGTCATGCTGCTGTTTGTAGCATCCTGCTGTGCAGTCACTGGCTGCTGAATTTCTGTACATTGCAACTGTGACTGCAGGACAACAGAGACCAATCACCCCAGGCTTCGGGATATACTGAGGCGTTGAAAGGCAAGATGGAAATGAGGGCCTACTATGCCTGTTTGTGATTAGCCATTATTCGGTAGCTGGTTATTCTTTCTCTCCCTCATACGTCGTCACCTTTGAGGCCAGTGGTCAAAGGTTCGAGCCCAGTCTAGATTCTCAAGCACAACATAGGATTGTAAGGTCTGTCCAGTATTTACAGATAGATGCACGGTCGGAGGGTCAGTGCTGAGGGAGCGCCGCACTGTCGGAGGGTCAGTGCCGAGGGAGCGCCACACTGTCGGAGGGTCAGTGCCGAGGGAGCACCGCACTGTCGGAGGGTCAGTGCTGAGGGAGCGCTGCGCTGTCGGAGGGTCAGTACTGAGGAAGCATTGCACAGTTGGAGGGTCTGTACTAAGGGTGTGCCACTCTATCAGATGGTCAGTACTTAGGGAGGGCCGCACTGTCGGAGGGTCAGCACTTAGGGAGCGCCGCATTGTTGGAGGGTCAGTACTGAGGGAGTGCTGCACTGTCGGAGGGTCAG